GATAATAATGAAAAGCTCACTTTTGATGACGAAAGTGATGAATGTGAAATTGATCAATTATTGTTAGATGAATTATTGACTGCAGAAAGTGTTTTCGAAGCGCAAGAAGATGAAATATCAATAAAAAATAAAGAAGACGTTGATATAGAAAATGAACAATTAAACACTCATGAATTGTATCAGTGTGTACCAGAAGGCACCAAAAATCAAATTTTGAAAGAGTTGTACACCTTTGAAGATGGAACTTTTCTTGTATACGATAGAATTGATTACAAAGAAATTGATATAGATGCTTTTTCAGAATCAATTAGAAGATTTTCTTATGATCATGACAACAATTTTGTATTAGAAAGATATATTGTCGCACTCGATTATATGTTTAAAAGAGCTAGTGATATCACTAATACCAAAACACTTAAAAGTATTAAAGTGATGCAAAGAAAAGTATGTGACTATGTTATAAATGGTGAAATGGTTAAAGCTCACCTGAGTGCCGAACAAATACGAGCATTGAAGCGGTGTACATTAATTAGTCACTCAACATTGGGTAGAGAATCTCTTGAAAGAGCAAAAACATTGGCTCTAAGCTCGAGAACATGCAATGCACAAGTATTTAAAGCCAATGAAATAAAGAAAGAAAAACTTAAAGTTGAAAGAAGTGAATTAAAATGTTTGGCAATTTCAATTGACTCAACAACGAAAAATGAACAAGAAATATTCTGTGTAATGTTGAGATTGGTCAAAGGAAGAAAGTGTTATTCAATGCCTCTTATATTAAAACAATACAAAGGCCAAACAGATGCAAAAACACTTGCTAAATGGATTGTTGGAAAAATTGGGGTTGAACACTTATAGAATAGTGAATTGCACAACTGATAGAGCTGCTACTTGTGCGGGATTAGATGGCGGAAATACAGTTGAAATGAATAAATTGATCGGTGTAAATGATCCAACAGAACTTACTTTAATAGACAACGAAATGAAAATTTTTGGTGTTCAGCACATCGAGTAAATTTGATGGGAGAATCACTTGAAAATGATGTTGAGATCAAAATGGTAAAAGTCTTCGCACAGTGGTTTTGTAGAAAAAATAGACTTTCAGATTATTGTGGTAAATGTAGTATTGGTCACGGATTCCACACAACTTACTCTGAAACAAGGTGGTGTTACATCTACAAAAATCTTGATGATATTACAAACAACTTTGAAGATGTAAGTCGATACATTAAAATCCAGAAGTGCTTCAGAATCTAATGACTGAATTCGAAAAGAATCATATTACATTCGAAGAAGGAAGAGTATTAAAAATTACGCCTACGAAAAATAAAAGTGTTGTGTGTGTCACCCAATGGACAAGCTGAAG